AAAATGGAAATCAGAAAAGCCACTTCTACTAATTGTTATATATCATCCACCAGGCGCTTACACTCAGTTTTTGTCTGAATTCTCAGAATTCTTAACTGACTTACTATTAAATACTGATAAAATCATCATAATGGGTGATTTCAATATTCATGTAGCTGTTGAAAGTGACAGCTTAAGCATAGCCTTTAATAATTTAATAGACTCATTTGGTTTTACCCAAAACGTCCACACATCTACTCATTCTTATCATCACTCTTGATTTAGTTCTGACTTATGGTATAGAGATTAGGGACTTGGTAATAGTTCCTCAAAATCCTATTCTGTCTGACCATTTTTTTAATAACCTTTGAGTTTGCATTAAATGACTACACAGTCACTGAGAGTAAATTTCATCTCAGCAGGTGCTTATCAGAAAATGCTGTAACCAAATTTAAACAATATCTTCCATCAATGTTTTCCTCTGGCTTGCAGCGTAATGCATCAGAGAACAGTGACTTAGATCATCTAGTTGATCATCTTACAACTTCAATGCAAACTTCACTTGATAAAATTGCTCCACTGAAAAAGAAAGTAATCAATCAGAGGAAACTGGCTCCTTGGTTCAATTCTGAGTTACGTACTTTAAAGTAGGCATCTAGAAACCAGGAGAGAAAATGGCGCTCTACTAATGTTGAAGAATTTTATTTAACTTGGAAAGATAGTCTGTTAACATATAAAAAAAGCTCTCCGTAACACTAGAATTTCATATTACTCATCTTTAATAGAGGAGAATAAAAATAACCCTAGGTTTCTGTTTAGTACTATTGCTAGACTAATTAAAAGTCCCATTTCTGTTGAACCATGTATCCCTACAACTATAAGTAGTGATGACTTCATGAGATTCTTTATAAATAAAATTATTTCAGTAAGAGAGAGAAAATTCAAACCATCCTTCCTTCTACTATTTCTAGTCCCCTGTCAAATGAGGCAACTTTAAAAATTTCACTAGAGCCTGATTTATGTTTGGACAGTTTTTGTCCTGTTGAGCTCTCTGAAATGTCAAAAATATTAACCTCATCCAAACCATCTATATGCCTGCTAGATCCCATCCCAACCAGACTGTTTAAAGAGGTATTTCCCCTAATTAATGTCCACATTTTGGATCTACTTAATTTGTCTTTAATGGATGGTTATGTACCACAGAGCTTTAAGGTTGCTGTAATTAAACCTTTACTTAAGAAGTCTGATCTTGATTCAGAAATTCTGGCCAACTATAGACCTATATCTAATCTAACTTTCATCTAAAAAATTCTAGAGAAAATAGTTGCAGGTCAGTTGCGTGAACATCTACAAAGAAATAATCTGTTTGAAGAGTTTCAGTCAGGGTTTAGAGCTTATCATAGCACAGAAACAGCACTAGTAAAAGTCACTAATGATATTCTCATGGCCTCAGACAATGGACTTGTGTCTATACTGGTCCTGTTAGACCTCAGTGCTGCATTTGATACAGTTGATCACAATATTTTACTACAGAGGCTTGAATATGATATTGGACAGGAACGGCTCTAAAATGGTTTAAATCATATCTATCTGATAGATTCCAGTTTGTAAATGTAAATAATAAATCTTCTTCATACACCAAAGTTAGTCATGGAGTTCCTTAGGACTCAGTGCTTGGGCCAATACTCTTTGCTTTATATATGCTTCCATTAGATAAAGTTATTAAACAGCATGGGATACATTTTTATTGTTATGCTGATGACACACAATTATATTTGTCCATTGATCCCAATGACTCCAATCAGCTACTTAGACTACAAGCATGTCTTAAAGACATAAAAACCTGGATGACCATTAATTTTCTCCTGTTGAACACAGACAAGACTGAGGTTTTAGTTTTTGGACCTGAGCACCTTAGGAATTAATTTTTCAGTCTTTCTCCCTCCTTAGATGGCATTAATCTGTCTTCCAGCTCTAATGTTAAAAATCTTGTTGTTATTTTTGATCAGGACATGTCTTTTATCCCCCACATTAAAAATGTTACTAGAACGCCTTCTTCCACCTGCGTAATACCGCTAAAATTAGAAACATCTTATCTAAAAGTGATGCAGAAAAACTGGTCCATGCATTTGTCACGTCTAGACTGGAATGCATTTGTCACGTCTAGACTGGACTATTGCAATGGTTTATTATTTGGATGTCCAAATACTTCCTTAAAACATCTTCAGTTGATCCAAAATGCTGCTTCCAGATTCTTAACTGGAGTTAGTAGGAGAGATCATATTTTTCCAGTTTTAGCTTTTCTCCATTGGCTCCCTGTCAAATCCAGAATAGAATTCAAAATCTTTTTTCTAACCTTCAAAGATCTCAACAACCTGGCTCCATCTTATATTACAGATCTTATTGTTCCATATTTTCCTAACAGAGCACTTCGCTCTCAGACTGCAGGTTTACTTGTGTTTCCTAGAATTTACAAAAACAGAATGGGAGGCAGATCTTTCAGTTATCAGGCTCCTCTCTTGTGGAACCAACTTCCAATCTCTGTCCGTGAGGCTGACACATTATCCAGTTTTAAAACTAGGCTTCAGACTTTCCGTTTTGCTAAATCCTACAGTTAGGGTCAGCTTGGGTTTCCTGAGCTTTCCCTTAGTTATGCTGCTATAGGCTTAGACTGCTGGGGGACAAACTGACCACAATTTTCACTCTGCTACTGTCTTTACTTACTCTGCTCAACCTGTTTTGTATTTGTAATTATTTTTTCTATCCTTAACATGTGATTTTTGTCTTTCAGATTCACCTGGACCTATACCTGGACCTACCATTCTGTGTTCGTCTGTCTCTCCTTCCTGTCCTCTCAACCAGCCGGTCAAAGCAGATGGCTGCTTGTCCTGAGCCTGGTTCTGCTGGAGGTTTCTTCCTTTTAAAAGGGAGATTTTCCTTTCCACTGTTGCCACTGTGCTTGCTCAGGATGGGAGACTGCAACGAAGCCAAGATTCAACTTGTCTGCTGGATTCCTTAGATAGAGAACTTTACTTATTGGCTTTTATGTATGTGAATGTTTCTGTAAAGTGCCCTGAGACAACTTTGTTGTGATTTGGCTCTGGCTCTCACTGAACCTGGCCTCCTCCCCTCTGGAGCTCTGACACCTCCAGAGAGTCAGCCCAGCATCCGTCCATCCTCAGTCCGACCACAGGCTCTAATGCTCGGACTCACTGTCTCTGAACTCGGCCTCCTCCTCTCTGGAGCTGTGACACCTCCAGAGAGTCAGCCCACCATCCATCCATCCTCTGTCCGACCACAGGCTCTCCTGCTCGGACTGGCTTTCACGGAAGCCATTTGCCATGGAAGCCATGGAAGACATGAACCATAAACGAAATAAACAAAAAGTTTAGCCATAAACTGAATTGAATTGAATGGAATTGTGGACGAGGTGAGGGATGTCATCGTGGAGACTGATGAAACAATGGCCTCTATTGATGTCACATCACTCTTTACGTGCATTCCTGTTGATGAGGCAGTAGAGGTGGTCAGTTTAAGATTAAAATCAGACACCACTCTGAGCAACAGGACCATGCTTTCCATAGAACAACTGTGTCAACTCTTGAAATTGTACCTGCAGTCAACCTACTTCACATATGGGGAGCAATATTATAGGCAGAAACATGAGTGTGCTATGGGGTCTCAAGTTTCTCCTATTGTGACCAATCTGTACATGGAGGAGGTAGAAAAGAAAGCCTTGACGTCCTTTTCAGGGACACCACCAAGTCATTGGTTCAGGTATGTTGATGACACCTGGGTTAAAATTAAATCTCAGGAAGTCCAACATTTTACTGACCACATCAACTCTTTGGATAAATACATCAAGTTCACATGAGAAAATGTAAAAAAATAGCAGGTTGGCTTTCTTGGACTGTGAGGTCTCAGTCTCTGATAGAGGAAATTTGCAAACTGAGGTGTACCGCAAACCCACCCACACAGACCAGTATTTGCAGTTTGACTCCCATCACCCTTTGGAGCACAAGTTAGAAGTCATCAGGACTCTGTACCACAGAGCAGACAGCATCCCCACTAACTCACGAGCCAGGCAGAAGGAGAAATCCCACACAAGACAGGCTCTAGAGCAATGTGGATATCCTAACTGGGCCTTCCTGAAAGCAGAGAAGAAACCCAAACAGGACTCCAGTCAGCCATCAGATGAAAAGGAGGAACCCAGACCCAGACCAGTGATCATTCCGTATGTTGAGGGAGTATCAGAGAAACTGAGATGTTTATTTTCTAAATACAACATCCCAGTGGCTTTTAAACCCCAAAATACATTATGGCAAAGACTGGTTCATCCCAAGGATCCAGTCCCCCAGCACAAACAGAGTAATATGGTGTATGCTGTTCAGTGTCAGGAGGGCTATGATCAATCTTACATTGGGGAAACTAAACAGCCACTGGCCAAAGGATGGACCAGCACAGAAGAGCAACACCATCAGGCCAGGACTCTGCAGTCTACACTCATCTCCAGGCCAGCGGTCACTCATCCAGGGATGAAGACGTTCACATCCTGGATACAGAGGAATGATGGTTTGAGAAAGGAGTAAAGGAGGCCATCTTTGTGAAAAGAAATCATCCATCATTAAACAGGGGTGGAGGCCTCCATGTTCAACTGTCCCCCTCATACAATGCTGTGATTGCTAGTATCATTCAGCCCTCTGTGAATAGCAAACAGCCATCAGTGTGCTCATGATCCATCGTTAGGCTGATGGTCTTCCTTGATCATGTGAGCAGCTGTTTTTTTGTTGTCAGCAGCAAGACTGGTTGAGCCACTCTGAGAAGGTGCTATTTATAAGACTGAGCTGAATACAGCAGGTCAGACTGACGAAGTCTTTCGGATGAAAGACGAAACGTTTCTACATTTTTTTTTGTTGTTGTTTTGCTTTGTGTTGTTTTTTGAATGTCCAGAGGACCAGATTTAACTTTTTTAGACCTTTGTAGAAATATTGTATTACCTTTTTTTTTTTTTTTTTGTACAGGGCAGTACCATCCCCATCAACCAGGCCAGGCCAAACCGTAATCTAACGTTCACCAAGAAGGAACCAATAGGGTGAGAAACCAATGACAATATGTTTAAAACCTCAAATGCCTTTTATTTGATTAATTTATCAAGATTATAATTTTACCATAACTTTTAAAGAAAGCTTATTACAATACAAGCACATTGATCACTGCTGATTACGAGGGGAGAAAACCTTTTTTTCTAATATAACTGAATGGTTAATCATATTCCTGTGATTCATATTTAGGCAGAGAAGACAGAAGTTTGGGGGATGGGGGGTGGTTGAAGGAAGCCATTTACGTCAAATAAAACGGTCAAAGCAGATGGCCGCTCGTCCTGAGCGTGGTTCTGCTGGAGTTTTTTTCCTGTTAAAAGGGAGTTTTTCCTTTCCACTGTTGCCTTTGTGCTTGCTCTTGATGGGAGACTGTGTCGAAGTGAAGATTCAACGAGTCTTCCTTAGATAGAGAACTTTACTAATTGGCTTTTTTATGTATGTGAATGTTTCTGTTCAGTGCCCTGAGACAACTTTGTTGTGATTTAGCTCTATATATTTAAACTGAATTGAATTGAGAAAAAAAAATTAAACAGAGAAGGTCTTCGATTTCAACTTTCATAAACGTGGCAGGCCTAATTTTTTATGATAGGATGAGGAGTTTGACAATCTAAGAGGAGCTCAACGTAGAGCTGCTGCTCCTCCATACTGAGAAAACCAGGATTTGAGTTAATTAAGGCAGTTGGTAAGAGAGGAGGGTGGGAGGATGGATATGGGTTTATTGGAAGGATCGAGCTGGGTGTCTCCTACATAACAGGCGGCTGTGGCTGAGTAGTTAGAGCAGTCGTCCTCCAATGCAAGAGTTGGGGGTTCGAATCCATCAGCAGTCACATGCCCAAGTGTCTCAGGGCAAGACACTGAACCCCTCGATGCCTCCGATGTGTGTCCCATCGGTGTATGAATGTGATAATGCTCTGATTAGTTTCTTTAGAATGATTTGTTCAATTAGCTTTGTAGAGATCTAGTAGAGTCAAGGGCGTCAGAAGCATCCATAATGTGTGTGTATGGGGGGGGATACAATGATGTGTGTAGGTGTGTGTGTACACATGCACGTGCATGCATGCACGCATAAAAAGTGTACACTAGTGTACAAAAAAGCAACATTTCACCTAGATTTCCTTTAATTCCACACATTTAATGCATGTTTCTCACCAAGTTTGTGTAAATCCAGCTGTAGGTTTTAAAGACATTTTAACTTTAATACACTTTACTACAGAGAGTCAGGTCGGCACTATTTGTGTTTATAGAGAAATAAAAAACATCACCAATAGACATTTTTACGTGTGTTTGGCACTAATCATCTAAATGATGTTTCTCACAAAGCTTGAGGACAATAAGGTGTGGGGTTTTAAAGACATTTCAACTTTAATGCACATGAACACATAGCGTCTCTTACACCTGCAGCATCTTACAGCATCACAGTTACTGCTAAGCTAAGATGCTACAGACGTAGCGCTCCTCTCAAGCATCCTCCCAACATGAATTGAATATATGTTTATGATCAATCCCCCCCCCCCCCCCCCCCGGTCAACAACTGCCCACACTAAGCTTGCTAAACTGGCGAGTGAGCAATACAGAGGTGTCTCCATCTCCTCCACCTGTGCACCTTTTCTGTCGAGGCATGAGGAGACATAGAGAAGAAACTGTGCAGGCATCAGGCTGCTGGTGGAGACTTGGAGGTAACCAGAAAAACCTGGAGTGGAGTTTTAGTGGCCTGAAACAAGTGGAATGGATTTGTTCACGAAGAAAGATAATCTGAGCCGAATGAACTGATGTTTCATAGTAAAAGTCCGGGGGGGGGGGGGGGGGGGGGGGCCAAAATTATTTTTTTTTTAATGGGGGGGGACAAGTCTCCTTCACATATAATGGTTGCGATGCCAATGAGTAGAGTGCTGTGTGAATGGGTAAATGGGGGCACAGATTGTAGTGTAAAGCGCTTTGAGTATCTTGATCGGATTGAAAGACACTATATAAGTACAGTCCATTTACATAACAATGCAAATGGAGATTATATTTACAAAAAATATAATTCTTTGTGGGTCCACTTTTATTCTTTGCTCCTCCTAAGTAATCTATACTGGTCCACTTCTTTAGACCACCAGTTGATCTTATACAGCAAATATTACAAATTTAACATCAAGGCAGACTTTTCTAGGTAAATCAATATATTAGTTGTACAGTAAAGTTGGTCCATATTTTAATGTAATTTTACATAAAAATGTAATAAACTTTTAAACAAAGTGGCTAGTGTAACACCTGTAGATGACTCAGAAACCACACAGTGTCACTTCATGCACCAAAATTTACAGAACCAAAACTCCCCCCACCCTCACAGTTTGATCCATGTCGTAGAGCATGGCTGTATCCCTTAAAGGCACAGTAACGTCACTCACAGTGCATAACATCATAAAGTCCAACCAAAACACCAAACTGAGTGATTTCTGGACATAACACCCCCAATCCCCCTTAGAAACATATTATTTAGCTCACTTTCTAGTATCACTATCACATTGTCACATAGTCCCCAAGCCAGACAGGCAGAAACCCCAGTATCTGGGATTGTGCTGGTCATTGAGTGGAGTTGGGGAAAGCTGGTGGATTATCCCCCACTTGGTAACCCATTGGCCTGGGCTGCCAACCCAGCGCCGCTGCCGGGGACAGCGGTGATGCAGATGCTGGTGGGGCGGTGACCCTGTGCAGACGGTTTGCGTGCCAACGACTCCCAACCTCCAGTCTGTTTGTGGGCGGCCCCAACTGCTTAATCACCCACAGGAGCTCTGACCAGAATGATTGCAGTTTATTTTGCTGATGAAGCCACTTGTTCTTGACCCAGTCCCCTGCAGTCAGTGAGGGGGTCCATACTCGGTGCGTAGCATCAAACCTGTCTTTCATCTGGGCCTGCAAACCCTTCACTTGAGCTCTGGCTTTCTGGAGCACTGGGCTCCCACGTGCAGGGGCTGGCTCAGCTCTCCAGGGGTTGCTTCAGTTCACACCCAATCATTAACACCACCAGTAAGGCTCCTGTGGTGGAATGCTTGGATGCCCAGATGGTCAGGAGGGTTTGGTTGAGAGCGTTGCTGAAGGTTCTCCCTTCCTCCAGACAGGCTCTGATTCCATTTTTGAGAGTTTTACATATTGAGTCGTTCCACACCACCATTGCTCTCTGGGCAATGCACTGCTGTCCTGATGTGCCTGATGGACCGCAGTGTGAGGAAATCTGTAGAGATGCACCGATCCGATACCAATATCGGTATCGGGACCGGTATTGAAAAAAACTTTTGTATTGTGTATCGTGACAATGTGACCGATCCATGACTGGGCAGATCTGTTCACTCTAATTCTATGCTTTGTGCTCTGAGTGATGCCACGCGCTAGCGTACTGACTGAACAAATTAAAGTTGTGTTGTGTTTACATGTTTGAACAAGCTTGTGAATCTCTTGGTGTGCTTAAGTGTGCTGTTATGGTGCAGAGTTTTCAATTAATTTGTAATTCAGTACATTCATGTCTGCGTTTAACAAAACAAATGTTTTAAGTTAATTCAGAACTGGGTTTGTAAGCTCAATCATCCAGGTAGACAACAAAAATTGCTAAATCATGTCTTCTGTACCTGTTTCAGTAACGGATCCAGATGACATGTTTTAGCCATTTTTGTTAGTTCAGCACTGTTTTTCTGTAACAGATTGGATCGGTATAGGCAGATACTAAACTGCAGATATCGGTATTGGATCTAAAGTGAAAAAAAGTGGATTGGTACATCCCTAGAACTCTGTGAACTGTGCTGAGGTAAACTGGGCCCCATTATTAATTGTAACAACAATGGGAAGGTCCCAGCATCCAAACAGATTGTCCAGGCAGTCTATGATGTGTGTGCAGTGATGGAGCTCAGTTGGCAAACCTCAGGCCACTTCGAGTGAAGATCTTGAACAACCAGCAGGTAGCGAGCGTGAGCAGGTGCCCTGTAAAGTTCCTCACAGATGTCGACCTGAATGTGTTCCCAAGGTGAAAATGGCCAAGGGGTCGGGGTGAGAGGGTCTGTGGCAGGCTGGCTTGTTTTCCCACTCAGAAGGCAGAAAGCACAGTTACGCAAAAGCTCCTCAACATCAGAGTCTATACAGGGCCACCACACCGTATCAAGACAGCGCTGCTTCACCTTGACCACCCCCAGGTGTCCCTCGTGTGCCAGTGTGTCAGTACTCTGGCCCTGAGAATTTCTGGAATGACTGCCCGGTGACCACAAGCTAGGCACACTGCCCCCCAGCAGGAGAGCTCATTGCATAAACGGTAATAGGGAAGCACCCTGCCATCCACTTTGGCAGGCCAGCCATCTTGCACATAGGTGCGGAGCATTGTGAGGGTGTCATCTGCAGCTGAGGCCTACTGCATCTCTGACAGGGTGACTATTGAACTGAGGGGCCCATGCAGGATGTGGACCCAGTCTTCATTGCTCTCTGTGTCTAATGTTGCTCCACTCATCTCCTTTGCCACTGACACAGCTCTAGACAGGAGATCAGCCACCATGTTGGCCCACCCAGGCATAAACTCCAGTCTAAAATTGTACTGATTTAGCCTGTCAGCCTACCCCAGCAGTCTCATGGGCCTGTACCCAGAGCCTTGGGTCGCTAACAGTGCTGTCAGCACTTGGTGGTCTGTGCAAATGGTGAATGGTCTGCCATATAGATAGACGTGCCAGCGTTCGCATGCCCACAGGCAGGCCAGGGCCTTCTTCTCCCCAACCAAATATTTCTGCTCTGCTGGAGTAAGTGCACGTGAGGCGAAAGGAACAGGGCATTCTACCCTGTCATGAATCTGGGAGAGCACCTATGATGCTTCTGGGATGGCGCTAGGTACTGTGCTCTCCCAGATTAATGACGGGGTGGAACCCAGAAGTATCACAGGTGACCATGGTGGGAGTGGTCAATCTGGAATGGGTCAGCGTGGGTGGGGACGTGAGCTGTTGTTTGATGATCTGCACAGGCCTCAGTGTCGGACAGGATCGGGGCGATGCCGTCTTTCGAGAGCCTGAAACCAAGAAACTCGACCTCCTCAGCCCCAAATATGCACTTCTGAGAGTTCAGTGTGACCCTATGCTGACTGAAACGCTGAAAGACCTGCTCCAGGCATGCATCATGTAGTGTAGTAAATGGTGCATGCACCACCACATCATCCAGGTAGATGGCGATACCTTGGATGCCAGCCAGTACCAGTGACATTATTTTCTGAAAACAAATTGGGGCTGATGAAAGTCAAAATGTCATGCGTTTAAATCTAAAATCCCCCACATGTGTGACAAACGCTGTAAGGTCCATATTGGCTGGTGCTAGAGGAACCTGCAGGTAGCCATTCCGTAGGTCCTTCTTACTGAAGACAGTGGAGCCGTGGAAATGGTTCGTGATCTCCTCAGCTGTGGGTAGGGGATACTTATCAGGTACGATGGCTTTGTTCACATCATTGAGGTCCACACAGTCGCAGTCCGCCCCCTTTTTCTTGGCTATCACTAGGTTTGATACCCACGGTGAAGCATTGACAGGCTATGATGTCCTCTTTCCCCAGGCGATACAGCTCGGTCTTCATGGTGTCACGTAGAGCCAGGGGAATGCGCTGAAGAGGCTGGATAACAGGATGGACTGACCGATCAACTGTAGGCTGGTGGACAAAACCTGTCATGCAGCCCGTCCGCTGAACAGTTGTGGGTAGTGGTTGAGACAGGACGTGGTGACCTGCTGGACATGCTGGCCCTCAGCATCACTCACCGCAAAACCCAGGGCGAGGAACAAGTCTATGCCTATAATGTTAGCTCCCTTCTGGGTGATGCAGAACTTAGTGTTAGGCACAAATTGCTGATCATATTCAACAGGGAGACAGGCCACACCCAGAGTGTCGATGGGAGAGTGGCCGTAGCCAAGCAGGGGTGTAGTTGTTGCTTCCAGAGGTATGTGACTGAAAAACTGGTCGTGCATTTGTTCAGAATTGTGACACTTTGGCCCCTAGGTCCACAGGGAGCGGGATGAGAGCTGTGCCCACACGACATGTGTAGAGCTTGAATGATGGCTGCAGAGTCTGTACAGTATTAATGGGAACCACAGTAGTATCACAGCGAGCAGAAAAAGAGCAATAGCAGCGTGCAAAATGATTCAACTTATGGCATTTGCGACAGAGTTTCCCATGGGCAGGACATGATTGGTCTCTAGTAGCATGGTTAGGGGAGCCATAGTTACCACAGCTCTTGGCCCTACTCCTACTGGGCCCCCTGTCCACTCTCTGTACATCCAACTTGCCACTCGGCCTGTGAAACCCCTCGACAGCCTCTCTGTGATGGACAGACGGTGGTGATGACGTCACTGGCTCGTGTACAGCGTGGCCGAATTTGCGCGCCTCTGTTAGGGTTGTTTCTAGCTGCTTTCCAATTACTAGAGTGTCCACCAGTGTCATGGAGTCTGGTTCTAGTAAAAATCTCTCCCTCAGTTGGTTACATGACATTTTTTCTATTAGCCGATCGACTATAAGTCCATCCTTCAACGTCCTTAAGTCACAGAGTCTAGCCAGCTCGTGTAATGCTGAAGCCTAGTGGGTGACGGACTCACCCGGCTGTTGAGTCCTCTGACAAAACTCGAAGTGGTGCATCCACCGGCTCTATCCGGAACTGAAATGAGCCCTCAGTGCAACCTTGGCTGTGGCGTATTTATTATCCAATAACGTGAGAATGGCAAAGATTTGTTGACCCTCCTGCCTGAGACAATGGTGCAGGACTGCACACTTCCTTGCTTCCACCAGCTCAGGGTGTCCCAAATCCAGCAAATAATCCTCAAACGACGTCAGCCATCTGTCCCAGGAGACAGCTGGGTCACCGGGGACAGGCAGGAAAGGTGGCGGTGGTGGTAAGGTGAGTTCAGACATCCTCGTCTGCCAAATGTAACACCTGCAGATGACTCAGAAACCACACCGTGTTGCTTCGTTGCACCAAACTTTACTGAACCAAAACTCCCCCCAACCTCACATTTTTACCCATGCCGTAAATCACAGCTGTATCCCTTAAAGGCACAGTAACATGTCACTCACCGTGCATAACATCACAGAGTTCAACCAAAACACCAAACTGAGTGATTTCTGGACATAACAGCTAGCTTTTTGCTTTGGTTAAACCAGGATGGTCTTTCAAATGCTTTAGCATGTGCAATGTACCATATTTTCCACCGTACACTTGGCACCACCCTATAAGTCACATCAGTCGAAATATGTCTAATAAAGTGGAAAAAGAATACGTTGCTTCGCCATATAAGTCGCATCTATTATGCGTCACCGCGACGCGGCTCATTTGTTACGCATCACCGCTGACAACCTAGAAATGTGGGCTGATGTGCCAAAAATAGATTGGCTGCCAAATGGCAGCCGCAGGAGCACACACAGGAGGACTTTAACAAGAATTTAACAAGATTAACACTTAAAAACAATTATTTGTTTGCTCAACTTTATAGCAAAGGTGTGTCTCAGTCTATCTTTTCCTATTGTGACGGTCAAATCAGCTGCATTTCAAAAGTTGATTAGCAGGAGCTCGCAGAGGGACAACTCGTGCATTTCTTCAAAATTTAACAAGATAACCATCTAAAACAATTATTTGTTTGCTCAGCATTATATCAAAGGTGTGTCTCAGTTTAACTTTTATTTAATAAATGCACTTCAACAGTCAAATTAGCTGCATTTTGCTGGGGCAGTGCAGCGAAATGAAGCTGATTTGACGGTTGTTCCAGGCATGATCCCGGAGTTGGACGAAGGTGGCAGTCTATGGCAAGCCAATTGTGCCATTAGTTGCCACTTTTACCTATTACATGACATAATGGCATGCCATAATACTCGAGTGCCTTAGCTGCTGAAAATAGTAGTGTTCAATATTTTCAGTCAAAATTTGGTTTAAAAATATGGGAGAGAAAAAAAACATAAATAAGTTGTTTCTGTGTATAAGTCACAGGGCATGCAAATTATGCAAAAAAACGCAACTTATACACCAGAAAATACAGTACTCATATAGATGAACATATACCTGTGATATATTCATAAATAGAACGGATTCATTCATTTTTCTGGACTGAATAATATCGTGCATTGAAATTAAACGTAACGT